AAGCGCAAACAGAATCATGCGTGCTATATTCGATATCTGCTTGAGAAGAGGATGGGCACAGCTTGCTATAAGGGCCCTACAACTCTGCAACGAGATCCAGGGTCGCATGTGGAGCACCATGACTCCCCTGCGTCAATTCAAAGTCAGTTATCCTTCATTTTCTTCTTCTATCTGTAAATGCTCGAAATTCATCAGTATTACGTGCAAAGGTATTAGTGCATGGCTTTCTGGATTGGCGCCCTGATGTCGCCATCCTTGTTTGTAGTAGTAAGTGGAGTAGTCTCCTCTCAGTTGTCACGTTCAACATGGATAGTAATGCGTTCTTTTGCATGAGTAGGAATGCGTTACATAAGCAATTTAATACGTTCTATGCTGGCCATGTTTCTCTTAACTGGACTGAAACAAACGTACTTCCGCACCCGAGTCTTCTGTTGCACTTCTCCTTTTCACGTGATTGGTTGCATGGTGCAGATATGTTGCGTGCTTCGCACTTGGGCACGGATTTAGGTTTGGTCGTATAGATGCACTGTTGCGTTTCTTCTGGTTTGTGTTACAGGTTCTGCCTGAGGAGTTGCTGCGTAAAATCGAGAAGAAAGACTTGCCTTTCGACCGGTACTATGACTTGACATCAACTGAAATAGGCGAACTTGTGAGAGTGCCGAAGATGGGAAAGCTACTTCACCGCCTGATTCACTCTTTCCCGAAACTGGAGCTTGCAGCGTTTGTGCAGCCACTTAGCCGGTCTTGCCTTGTTGTTGAGCTGACCATTACCCCAGATTTCCAGTGGGACCCGAAAATCCACGGCAACGGCGAGGTGTTCTGGATCATTGTGCACGACGTCGACTGCGAGCAGATTCTCCACCATGAGGTCAGTCGATGTTGCTCCTATGCACATTGCAGCTAAACAACACTTCAGCGCATCGTGTATGTTGTTGTTCAACAGCCCGCCCCGGTGCTTGAGTCAACGACTCTGGGAAGTATGTATGCTGCTTAATCCTCGTATTGCGTGGATTTTTCTCGGTATCTGTGCAGATGTTCATATTACCAGCGTTCCAAGGAGAAGTTGAACATACGCTAACTTTCACGCTGCCTGTGACCGACCCGATTCCTCCCAGTTACAGCATCCGCGCCATTTCAGATCGCTGGCTTCACTCCACGGCGTCATTGCCCATCTCCTTCAGAAACCTCATCTTGCCAGAGAAACCTATGCCTCACGCAGAGCTGCTGGATTTGCAGCCACTGCCTGTCTCGTCTCTGCACGATAAGAAAGCGGAGGAACTGTACAAGAAGGAAGGCATTAAGGCGTTTAACCCCATTCAAACACAGGTAACAATTGATTAGCTTCATAGCAGCATTACTTCTTTTCTGTGTCTCACGAGGTGGCTGGCTGGCCAACTGTTGGCTGATAGCCGCCGGAAACTAAGGCCTGTTGGGCCGCTTGGGGAGTTTCACGTGTTCGAGCTTTTCATTTTTTCCTAGAGATAACAAGCGCATATATTCAATATTCTTGTGCGTTCAGGTCTTCTCCACCTTGTACTCGACAAGCGAGCCTGTGCTGCTGTGCTTGCCGCCTACTAGCGGCAAGGAGATCTGCATAGAGTTTGCCATTCTACGGATGCTCAAGACAGAGCCTGCCAGCGCTTGGAAGGCAGTATACCTTGCACCTTATTCATCTGTAGTACAGGAAACGCTGAGACAGTGGAGCTCCAAACTGGGCAATGGCCTAGGGCTTAAAATTGCAGAACTCACGGGTGATCTGCACGCGGACCTGAAGGTACTTTTTTTTTTTTTTTCACTGAGGGGCTGTGCAAGGAAAAGCTCCAATAAAATACCCCTGAGAACTCTTCAGGGAAACGTAACAAAGGGGCTTGCAGCTGGAAATGTTGTCGTAGCCTAGGTGGATGCGTGCAGAGCCATGCGGCATTTCTAGCTGCTTGCTGTATGTAGAAGTCGAGGGTGGTGCTGCATGCGGCAACAACGTCTGAATGTGCTTGTGAGGTGAATGCTTATGCAGATTTTGGAGCAATCACATATCGTGGTGTCTACACCCGACAAGTGGGATTTCTTATCTCGTCGGTGGAAGACTCGCAAAGTGTTGCAGTCGATCCGCCTATTGGTTGTCGACGATCTGCATCTTCTCAACTCTCCAGTAGGCTCTACTCTGGAGGTATGCCTTTCAAGGATGCGATACATCTCCGCGCAGCTGCCTCAGCCCGTCCGCATCGTTGCCTGCGCCAATTCCCTCTCGAATGCCAAGGACGTCGCAGATTGGCTCGGGGTATCCGCTACCGGTGAGCACCACTATACAACCGCCACAAAAAAAAAATTTCTGTGTCAACGGGGTGCAGACAGATCACGTTCGTTGAAAGGCTGAACTTGCTAGGATCTCTCATATAAACA